CATATTTAGGAGCTCTTGCAGCCTGACTCTCCGTCTTGTCAGTCTCTAAAATATCTCCACATAATTTCAACGCGTTTAGGTAAGGTAAGTCAATGTGCTACTTATGCTTCTAATGGAATCAGAGATGGTTATATGAACAGCCATGCATCGAAGAAGTGGTTTCCTTCACAATCAATAGGGGCAAATATCGACCCAGGATATAGGGTTACAAATGGACGGGTTGTGCCTATAAGCATCACCACTTGTATGCTTAGTGACCAAATGGCTTCCGCAATTTAGCATAAAGCCCTGTCAAACTAGCCACAATCCAAATAGGAAAGCAAGGTTCTGGACTGAATACTTTTCAATCATGCTTTCGTATGCTACTTGCAATACTCGTAAATATTCTTGATATGTTCAACAGATATCACGAAATATAGTATTCGACTCGTCCATTTGGAGATCAGGTCGCGCGAGAAATAAACCATCAAAAATGTTCCAATTTAAAACATGACGCTGGCAAGAGGAAAACTAGCTAATAACTAGATACTACCTGAGCTGTCACTATGGTGTACCGTGTTACCCCTATACGTACTACTATTCGGCTGTGGGCAGTCTTATGATTACTATGTTGGGGCTGATGGACTTGGTCTTGATATGAATATCAATGTTCCATCCATGTAAGAGATTAATTTCTGAGGAAACTGCGGAAGTGTCCTACCTTGCTAATCAAGTGCCACCGTGGAAAAACATTTAGACCTTATTTTACTTCCAAATATCTTTAAGATGCATTTATTTCAACTTAGTCAAAAAACTGTCTTCCTCTTGTGTAGTTGATCCGGTAACTTAACGCACAATGCACTCCTGTTTTTCTGATCCGACTGAAATATGCTTTTTATAAATTCAAGCTTGGGTCTTGTTAACTTCCAGCTACCAAAAACATTCAATTATTGCCTGATATTTTACTTTTTAATTTCGGATTTACCAAGAGTAATGGCTTAAACTCCCAATCCATCATGGTACGTAATGACAACCCAAGAGGAATTTTTCAGTTCACTTTGAGTCTCAGGCTAAACCCATATGAGTAGAGGTGGCCAAATTCCTTTGATAAGTCTCACTTAATACCCAGTCCTGAAGTTTATGTTACCTTTTCGGGTGTTTAAACATTTCTATAACTCGTTTTGATGAAGATAAGTACAACCTCTGGAAAGGTCAAAGTATGCCAATTAAATGTCTGCAATAAAGGATCAGTTCAGTAGGTTAAAAACATGACTAAAATGCGTAGGTTTCTAATAATGCAATGTATCAAACTACTGTAAAGTGAGGACTTGGCAGAAGTTATGTCTGAGATCTAAAATGTATAGCGCGAATACTGAATTGTCGAAAATAGATTTTGAACTTATTGATCAGTTAAGAAAAATATTATAGCTGAGCACATTGACAATCAAAAACTATTCGCTTTTCGTTCCTGTCTTTTTTTTCACTGATACTGGTTTTGTCCATGATGGTTCAAATATGATACTTTTAAATACGAAATGCCAGATTTTCTAACCTGTACGTATGTGTAGCCGGGAACCGGCGCTGGCGCACCAGTCAATCTAAGAATCCATTTTTCAATTTCCGTCACCATCTGTAATTCGGCCTTCGAGACGTCTCCGGTCGGAGTATGACCAAAAAGAAACATATCCCAAAATGAGGAGGGATCCCTAAAGGTGACACGTCCGTATCAGTTACCATTTTGCGAGCGCATTAAACTGCCTGTAAAATGATATTCAAAATACAGTTCGCAAAGTTGAGATTGCTGAATTCGGCCTTCACTTTAGATTCTGAAGCTTACATACGTTGAATGTGATATTAACAAAGGATACACTGGCTGGCGTACTGACTTTTAAGCTCCATGAAATATACGTATCAACTTTAATGTTTAAGATATACACTAAACTTTCTTAAATACAGTCGTTCCTATCCTAGTTCTTAGTATAGATTTCAAAGTTTGTATTTTTCCTTTTTTAATTCAACGTGTTGGCACTTCACAGGCATGTAGCTAATTTCACGTGATCATTTAAAGATTGGATTTATAACATTAGGAAAAATTTAGTTCTATTTTGTAAGTAAGCGTCGCAATTTATTGTTATTCATACCCTGCTAGCCTAATCCCCGGATTCCCCCGTGCTCTTGACGGGGTAGTTCGGGGGAATACGGGGGAATCCGGGGATGAAAATTTTTGATTAATAAGTTATATCTACAGAG